GTCTGCTTGCCACAACTAAAAAAAATCCCGCATGCCGCAACTAAAGATCCTGCATGCCGCAATGAAGATTCTGCACATGGCAACGGAGATCCCATGGGCCGCAACTAAGACCCAGCGCAGCCAAATAAATAAATGAATATTTTTTTAAAAAAGGGAACACTTGTACACTGTTGTTAGGAATGGAAATTGGTACAGCCATTATGAAAAACAGCATGGAGGTTTCTTTAAAAATTAAAATAGAACTACCACATGATCCAGCCATCCCACTTCTGAGTAAATATCCAAAGGAAACAAACAAAAAAATTTTTTTAACTGTTAGGACCTCCTTGTGGTCCTCAAAGACCTTTACTGGATGGCTCTTTCCAGAGAGGGAGCCACACACTGACAGGGCTGTGGGCAGGCATTGCTTCCAGCTCCCCACACCTTGGGGGAAAAAACTGTGGGCAAGACACTGACTTCCATGGTCCATGATCACTTCTCCAGGGACGCAGAGTTGAGCAGCTTCTCTATCAAGTCCAGTGGGCTAGCAGCATGCAGCGGCAGTAGTAGCCCTTAAGGCCCAGTGCATCCCGGGTGTCCCCCTATTTCAAAGAAATATCGGCAATCTGTGTTTTTTGCAGCATTACTCACAACAGCTAAGGAAACAACTTAAGTGTCTGTCACCAGATGAATGGATAAGGAAGATATGGTTTATAAATATATAAAATGTAAAAAAATTAATAAGCAGAAATCTCAGTTAAATAGAATTGAGAGACCAGAAGGGGGAGTTCTCACACCCTGCGACGATAGCAAAGCCCAACAGGAAGAAGAAAGACTCCCTTTCTTTCCTGGCAAGGACTCAGCCAATGAAAAGTCATGGACGCTTTGTTTACTATAGCCCTCCCAACTTCCTTTTCCTCTCTATAAAAGCATTTTCCTTCCCTTGTAGCGCAGGGATTTTCACACGGCTCACCATGGTTGCAACCCCGAGTTGCTGATCCCAAATAAACCCATCTTTGCTGGAAAAATATCTGGCAGTCTATTTATCTCAGGTAAACAATACAATGGAATATTATTAAATCATAAAAAAGAAGGAAATCTTGCCATTTGCAACAACATGGATGAGACTGGAGGGCATTATGCTCAGTGAAATAAGCCAGACAGAGAAAGACAAATACTGTATGGCATCACCTATATGTGGAACCTAAACAAACAAACAAACAAGAAGTCCAACTCACAGAAACAGAGAGAATGGTGGTTTCCAGGGCCTGGGAGGGTGGAAGAAATGGGTAGGTATTGGTCAAGGGTACAAACTCCTAACTATAAGATGAATAAGTTCTGGGAACCTAATGTACAGCACGGTGTTCATAGCTAGCAACATGGTATTTTATACTTGAAGTTTGCTAAGAGAGTAAATCTTAAGCATTCTCACCAAACATGCATACACAAAAATGGTAACTATGTGAGGTGATGTATGTGTTAGTTAACTTCATTGTAGTAATCATTTCACGATGTACACAATCATCACGCTGTACACTTTAAATATATACCATTTTATTTGTCAATTATACCTCAATAAAGCTGGGGAAAAAATAATCCTAACCTTTTCATTTCCTTCCCTTATTTCTCTTTCCCCTAGGACCCCATCTTCTATCATCTCCTAGCCCCAGTGAGGTAGGGACCAGGGTAGGATTAGCCAAGGTTCTATATTACTTGTGATGGTTCCTTACGTCCCTGTAATAATAGGACTGCCTAATATTAGACAGGAGCCCCAATTTCAGAGGAATAATTAGATTTATTACTTTAACTAAAATTAACTGCTATTCTTGATCTGAACAAACAAGTGAAACTTTTGTTTGCAAAGTTGTAGTAAGTAACAGCCAAGAGAGTTGGGAAGAAGCTGAGTGAGGCTCGTTATACTAATTCTCCAGGGATCACAAGCACCATAAAACTTAGGAGAAGAGTAGATCCCTGAAGAAAACAAAGTTGCAATCCGAATCCCTCAGCCCTTATGTCACCTCCACAAAGAGATGTGTTTATTCCAGGAGTAGCTCATTCACTGTCTTACAGTGCCCCATTGTCCGCAGAAGAAATACCATCTCGCAGAAACTTGCCCAACGTGAGAATGTAATAAAAGTCTTTATCAGTTGAAATGACCCCCATTAGTTTAAAAGGAGGATGAAGGAAGATTCCACTAAATGATAACTGAACTCTTCCAAGGCTTCTCCCAGGATGAGCTTGCTGAAATGTGGAAAATTTCAAAACATTCTGGACTCATCAGATCCTGTGAGCTGAATGATGACCAAGTCCAAGGAAACCATTCTCCCATCTGGGAAACGCCAGCTGACCATTCAGGATACTTTGGAAAGGAATAGTTATTCTTAAAGAATAAGATCTGCATTTAGAGCCCACAGACAATATTGCAAGCACAAGAAATACCCATGTGAACCAGGTATCTTCTGGAATCCTGTGAGTAGTGTATTTGGAATGGCCTGACTGGGACTTCCCCAGAGGGCTGCCAGACACCTAACCCTGGGCCTGAAGGGTAATCTCCACCATGGCACTGCAGAGGATGGCAGAGCAGCAATGGCTTCCCCAAACCGTCCTCTTCCTGGCACTTGTCTTCGCTAATTTTTATAAGATGTGGCACATCGAGCACACACACTGGGTCTCATTTGTAACTTCAGCCCCACCGTCCAGGTAAATGCTAGGCAAGTCAACGTTTATCCAGGCAGAACCATTAAGTTACTCACATTGAGGAGATTTGCCTGTCCCACCTTGTGCTCTGTGTAACTGTCCCCTTGGAAAACCCAAAGCTCTGGAGAGCATCAAGTCTGGGTGAAACTCTTAACGCTTTTCCTTAGGAGAAGATCTCACCCTCCTTCTAAGTGTGCTAGAACTATCCAGAAGGCAAGACGAACCTCCAGGGCATCCATAGAGACTTTCCCACTGGCCACTGCATGACTGACCCTTAAACAATGAATGGGGCTTCCCTGGTGGCGCAGTGGTTAAGAATCTGCCTGCCAATGTAGGGGACACAGGTTCGAGCCCTGGTCCGGGAAGATCCCACATGCCGCGGAGCAACTAAGCCCATGCGCCACAACTACTGAGCCCACGTTCTAGAGCCTGCTAGACACAACTACTGAAGCCCGTGCACCACAACTACTGAAGCTCACACGCCTAGAGCCCGTGCTCCGCAGCAAGAGAAGCCACCGCAATAAGAAGCCCGTGCACCGCAAGGAAGACTAGCCCCCGCTCACCGCAACTAGAGAAAGCCCGCGCGCAGCAACGAAGACCCAATGCAGCCAAAACTAAATTAATTAAATAAATAAAAATTTTTAAAAAACAAAAAAACAATGAATGGTGTGAGTGGATGGTGCAGCCATGCCCAGGCTCTCAGGCTGCCAGGCAAGTCTCCCCTTTCACTCATCAAGCCTGAAGGATAAAGGGAGAAATACCTGAATTCATGAAGTGGACCCCTTCTCTTTGTATTTGGAAGCCCCTCCCCCTGGCTGTTGACCTCCCATTTGATACAGGAAAAAAACAGAAGTTTATCAAGCAGCCCTGTCTATGAGCTATATCCTTAGGCTAATCACAATGTCTTTTCATGGTTTATCTGTGCTAAGCTCATGATTCAGTATGAACCCACAGCTTTCTCCTCACCTTCCACTCCCATCCAACTCTTCCTCATCTTAGTCTCTATTCCCACTTCTCTTCCAGTGTGTCCCACCAGGACTTCGCCTAAATGATACTCATTCTATTAGCTCCTGATGATGTGTCTGGGTATCACATTCATGTTGTGTCCTGCTTCTGTCCTGGAAAGAGCTGGGTACGTTTCTTGGCTGCCTGGGCTCACCTTTGAACCAAATGATTGGGCTACAGAGAACTCTTTTTCAAATCGCTGAGTATCTAAGCAATATTGCGCCTAGAAATAACCCCTGGGGAATAGCCCTTAGTTACATCCTCAGAGGCTGATCAACTATTTTGTGTTCTTTCGTAACTGTCAACAAATGTTATATACAATAGTAGTTTGTGGAATAACTTTGAATAGTGCAGCCTTGCTGAAGAGAAGGCAAAACCATAAAAAAGAAAGTTTATACAGTTTACCATTTCATCTTCTCTACTAATATCCCCTAGCATCTCCTTCATCCCAGGTACCTAAACTGGGTCCCAATCTTATTCTCCAGTGACTGGTAAATAATTCTTGCTACAGTTCTGCCTGATCATTAAGGGAGTAGTTGATAATGCTTAAGGAAGGAAACTTCCAGGGATGTGGACATTTAAAAAGAGATCTTTTGTAGGGTTTGGGGTTTTTTGTTGTTGTTCTTGTTGGGGTTTTTTGTTTGTTTGTTTGGGGATTTTTTAAAATAAATTTATTTTTTTATTTTTGTCTGCATTGGGTCTTCGTTGCTGCATGTGGGCTTTCTCTAGTTGCGGCGAGAGGGGGATACCTTTCGTTGCGGTGCGTGGGCTTCTTATTGCGGTGGCTTCTCTTATTGCAGAGCACCGGCTCTAGGCGTGCAGGCTTCAATAGTTGTGGCTCGTGGGCTCTAGAGCGCAGGCTCGGTAGTTGTGGCGCACGGGCTTGGTTGCTGCGTGGCATGTGGGATCTCCCCAGACCAGGGATCGAACCTGTGTCCCCTGCATTGGCAGGTGGATCCTTAACCACTGAGCCACCAGGGAAGTCCTGTTTGGGTTTTTTTTTTGCGGGGGGGATGTTTGTTTTGGTTCTGGTTTTGGTTTTGGTTTGCTGCTGGAAGCACTCTAGCAGACCCAAACAGACCTCTGTCCCTTTACTAGCTAGAACTCCAGACTGTCTCAAAGATGGAGAGTTTCCCCTTAGAGAATCTTTGTGGGGAGACATCTCTACCTTCTAATGAGGAAAAGCAAACCCTCTTCAGATGGGCCATTTTAACAGACTACTTGACATATTACTCTGCAATGTTACTGTCCTCTAGGAAGTACTACATAAGCAACATGTCCTCAACCTATTCTGTGTCAAACAACACGAAATCCAACTCACAGACATTTGAGGTGTTATTCACTCATTCAGTAAATATTTACTAAAGCTGATTATTTCAAGAAACTTGTTCTAAGAGCTATATAAAAAGCAAAGATTAATAAAGACATCTTTGAGCAACAAATGAAAAACAACCATAAAATATAATAAAAGTTGAGTGATATATAACAAAACTATGAGAGATACAGAGACTCAGGCATTCAAAAGAGAAGGCTTCATGGAAATGACAGCACTTATTGAGGAGAGACTTAAAGGATAAATAGGATTTGAAAAGGCTGATGATTCCAAGTTGAAAGAATGCCATGTGCTAAAACATAGGTGCATAAAATAGATAAAGAATAAAAAAATCACAAAGGGTTTATTGTATCTTGAGCCCATGGGAGGATGTAATCAAAGGAGACCGTGGATATATCATATGAGGATGGATCATTAAGAATCTTAAATACCAAACTCCCACTAAGGAATTTTTATTTGTGCATACATTACTTGGATTTTTCTCTTTTTGATTGGTAAGAGTTGTGCTTTTCTCTCATAGATTTCCTCTTGTCTTTTTATTAATCCAAATACTAGTGAAAGGCATCGAATTTTCAGGTAATATTGAATTAGCAATAGAGTGTCTATGCATTCTCAATCAGTTTACCTGAGGATACGGATCTGTGTAGTGATTGGCTAAGTTAAGCAAAAAGGTTATCAGTCTCAAATATGAACTACTTATGGATGAAGACCCATTATTAGAATAAAGATAATAATGAAAGGTAGTGAAAGCAGGGTATAATATTAGAGGCAAAGTAATTGTTGAAGAATTAGAAATAAAATTTTGGTTAACAAAAGTAAGCGAGAATAATTTTTGGTTTGGGGCCTTACTTAGGCCCCCCTGCAACACCACTCTCGCCTCTAACACATAGACATACCAGGGACCATACATGAGAAAGATAGCCCCAAGGGAGCTCTGTAAAACAAAAATAAAGGAATCCTTCAACTCAAAATGCAACACTCACCATTTTTTCCTATCAATTCCAAATGTCCTCAGATCCCCAGAACATCACGACTCCTGGTGCAGCACACCTCTGATTGGCCATCCCCAGCAGAGGTCAGAGGAGCCATGGGGAACCACACCACTGTCACCGAGTTTGTCCTGCTGGGGCTCTCAGATGCCTGTGAGCTGCAGATGCTCATCTTCCTGGGGCTCCTCCTGACCTGCCTCTTCACTCTACTGGGGAACCTCTTCGTGGTCCTCACCCTCAGGGACAGGCACCTCCACACCCCCATGTACTACTTCCTCCGCAACTTTGCCATCCTGGAGATCTGGTTCACCCTGGTCATCTTCCCCAAAATGCTGTCCAACATCCTGACAAGATACAGGACCATCTTCCTGACAGGTTGCTTTCTTCAGTTTTTCCTCTATTTCTTCCTGGGAACCACAGAATTCTACCGACTGGCAGTGATGTCCTTTGACAGGTATGTGGCCATATGTAAACCCTTGCGTTATGTCACCATCAATGAGCAAAAGGGTCTGTGTCCAGCTAGTTCTTTGCTCATGGATGACAGGATTCCTTATCCATCATCGTTCCAAGTTTCATCATATTTCAGCAGCCATTCTGTGGCCCCAATATCATTAATCATTTCTTCTGTGACAACTTTCCACTCCTGGAACTCATATGTGTGGACACAAGTCTGATTGAGCTTTTGGGTTTTATTTTGGCCAACTTCAGCTTACTGGGCACTCTGTCCGTGAAGGCCACCTGCTATGGCCACATCCTTCACATCATCCTGCAAAACCCCTCAGCCAAGGAGAGGCAGAAAGCCTTCTCAACCTGCTTCTCCCACATCACTGTTGTCTCTCTCTTCTATGGCAGTTGCATCTTCATGTATGTCCAGTCAGGCAAGGGTGGCCAGGGCGAGGACAGGAACAATGTGGTGGCCTTGCTCAATACCATGGTGACCCCGATGTTCAACCCCTTCATCTACACCCTGAGGAACAAACAGGTGAAGCAGGTGTTTAGGGAGCAGGTGAACAAGCTCTTCTTATAAAGATGTACCGGACCTGAGAGGAGGGGAGGAAGTTACCTCCTTGCCTGAACCTCTGCAAATGCAGCTTCTGTCCTGATCTCCATGAACTATCCCCTCCTAGATAGTTTTCAGCATGTCCTCTAATCTACAGTGGTTGCTCACATGCATCATTATTGGCTCACACAGTCTTCTCAGAGTACAGAAAGCTCAGCGTACCACAGCTATGTCTGGTATGTCCTAATGTTTCTGACCCTAGCCTATACCTGAGTTTCTTAATCTTGCCTCATTTTTAAGTTATAATTATAAACTTAGCATACCTTCTTCACTAGAACATTTCAAAATTGATAAAAAATACTCTCAGTAAGAATACATTCATGATAGACTTCAGAAATATTATATATACAGAAAAATTAATGAGGTGGAATGGCCAAGAAACGTTGAACAAAAAAAGTATCAGGTATTAAAAACACTAACTTAAAAACAAACAAATACAACAGTGGAATTGGATACCCTAGAAAGATAATGCAGAGTAGACATAAAGATCTAACAGATAATTAAAGTAGACTTTCTAATCAGTAAAGAAGGTCAAGTCAATAAACAATGCCAAGACTACTGGCTATAACCACATTAGAAGACTTCCTTTAAAAAAGATTGAGGTCTAGTACATAGTTGGTTATTTGGGTGGGGGAAGGGTTAGAGCAGAATATCAACTTAAATGTTATATGTGCCTTAAATATTTATTTGAAATTAAAACCTAGAAACACATATGTACTCACTAGTCTATAAATATCCTTTTCTTTGAGAATGAATATAATGACTGTTGTAGTATTTCTTGTTTAAACCACATTCATAATATGAAATTTCAAGATTGGTTTCAGCAGCACAAAAATTGTAAAGATGCTTAAGAAACTATCTGTGAACAGAATTCTAGAATTTTCGCTTTTTGTTTGTCTTTTGCCAGTCTTCACAGTTCTTGCCCACACCTCAGTCAACAATTTTTTTCCTCAATAGTCAATTTTTTTTTCAATAGATTCCAATATGGAATCTACTGAAAGGAACTGACTTCATTTTCATAGAAATAGCTTTGTTTTTATACTCGTATTTCATTGGCTTATCTTTATTTAATTAAAATGTCATTACAATAACAAGTCCAACTATTACATCAAGGCTTAGAAACAACTGATTTTTGGTACAAGCCAACTGAAAGGAACAATAATATGCATGGGGGGGCTTCCCTGGTGGCGCAGTGGTTGAGAGTCCGCCTGCCCATGCAGGGCACACGGGTTCGTGCCCCGGTCTGGGAGGGTCCCACATGCCACGGAGCGGCTGGGCCCGTGAGCCGAGGCCGCTGAGCCTGCGCGTCCGGAGCCTGTGCTCCGCAGCGGGAGAGGCCATAACAGTGAGAGGCCCGCGTACCACAAAATAATAATAATAATAATAATAATATGCATGGGTCCAACAGAAGCCTACTAGCTGCAAAGCTAGTAGCTTCCAGGCATGCTGTGGACATCAATGATTTTTAGAAGCAGTATAGCACAAAGACTGAGAACAGCTACTAGAAACCCAGGTTCAGAACTCAGCTATTAGCCATTTGATCTTGAGTAAGCAATATTTCTTTGCAACTCAGATATATATGGAGATAATAATAGTATCTACCTCATAGAATCCTTATAAATATCAATGTATTAATATATGTTAGAATGCTTAGCACAGGGCTTGGTACAAAGTTAAGTACCATGTTAAGTGTCAGGTACTATGTTTTACTGAAGGAATAAGCTGAATAAATGAAGGTAAATGAAGAGATTACCTAGTACCTTGAAGAAAAAGTTGTTAGATCCTCACCTCATCTCTTAAACTGAAATAAATTCAGGATGAATTAAGTAGATAGATATAAACCATGAAAAAGAAAATTTAGGTAAAAATTATTTTATTAAAGACATGTAGGGAGCTTTTTTGATGGAAGAAATATAAAAATAAGTTTACAAATTTGGCTATGTAAAATTTTTAGACTTCTTTATATCAGGAAAAAAACCATAAATGCTGTAATGGCCATATGTACTTTCTATCTGCCTGCACGCATTTCCCATTCTTAAAGTAGTAGGTCCCTGATCTTTCTCAGTAAGGCCCTTCCCCCACTCAGTTTATGGAGCTGGGGTGGTGGTGACTTCATCCCTAACCAGTCAGAGCGTGACCATGGTTATTGGCTCAAGAATGGCCATATCACTAAAATCAGGCCATTGAAACCAAACAAGTCTCAATTCTGAGATACTTGTGGGAACTGGTGGAAGAGTCTCTCTGCTGGACTTGAGGTTGGGAGAAAGTAGGGGAAAAAAGAGAGAAGACACAAATTACCAATAAGGGGAATAAGAAAGTGGATACCACTATGAATTCTATAGGAATTAAAAAGTAATAATGGAACATTATAAACAACTTATGTTAATGTTTTTGACAACTTAGATGAAATGGATAAATTTCTTGAAAGACACAAGCTACCAAAGCTTACCCAAAATAAAATAGATAACTCTAGCAGTCCTATATCTTTTAAAGAAATTTCATTTGTAGTTAAAAACTTCCCCAAAAAGAAAAGTGCAGGCCCAGATGTCCTCATGGTTAACTCTACTAATTACTTTAAAAAGAGATAATACCAATGCTATAAAACTCTTTCAGAAAACAGAAGAGGAAGAAACACTTCTCAAATTAACCTATGAAGCCAGCATTATCCTGACCAAAATCAGACAAACATACTAACAAGAAAGAAGTTACAAATATCCTTCAGAACATAGATTTTAAAATTCTTAAAAAAACTTTAGCAAACTATTTCCAACAACATAGCAAAAAGGTAATACATCCTTGACCAAGTGGGGGTTATCCCACAATTACAGGATTGGTTCAACAACCAAAAGTCAATCATATGTAATTCACTACATTAACAGATAAAGGAGAAAAACCATATGATCATCTCAATAGATAAAGAAAAAGCATTTAACAAAGGTCAACCCCCATTCATGATTAAAAAAAAAATGGATAGCAAACTAAGATAGAAGAGATATCTTAGCAAACTAAGATAGAAGAGAATTTCCTCTAGCTGATAAAGGATACTTATGAAAAACCCACAGTAAAATACTAAATGGTGAAAGACTGAATGCTTTCCCCTAAGATTAGGAACTAGAACTTTACAACTTCTACTCAACATTGTACTATAGGATCCCAGCCAATGCAATGGTAAGAAGAAATAAAAGGCATGCAGACTTATCATGAAAGGATGCTGAATTTTGTCAACGGCTTTTTCCTGCATCTATTGAGATGGTCATGTGATTTTTTTTTTTTTTTTTTTTCTTTGCAGTACACGGGCCTCTCACTGTTGTGGCCTCTCCCGTTGCGGAGCATAGGCTCCGGACGCGCAGGCTCAGCGGCCATGGCTCACGGGCCCAGCCGCTCTGCGGCATGTGGGATCTTCCCGGACCGGGGCACGAACCCGTATCCCCTGCATCGGCAGGCAGACTCTCAACCACTGCGCCACCAGGGAAGCCCGGTCATGTGATTTTTAAAATTATTTACTTATTTATTTGGCTGCGCTGGGTCTTAGTTGCGGCACGTCGGATCTTCATTGCAGTGTGCAGGATCTTCGTTGCGGCATGCAGGATCTTTAGTTGCAGCACGTGGGATCTAGTTCCCTGACCAGGGATCGAACCCCGGCCCCCTGCATTGGGAGCGCAGAGTCTTAACTGCTGGACCACCAGGGAAGTCCTGATCATTTGACTTTTATCCTTCATTTTGTTAATGTGGTGTATCACATTTCTTGATTTGTGGATGTTGAACCATCTTGCATCCATGGACTAAATTCACTTGATCATGGCGTATGATCCTTTTAATGTACTGTTAAATGCAGTTTGCTAAACTTTTTTGAAGATTTTTGCGTCTGTGTTCATCAGGGATATTAGGTATAACATTTTTTTCTTGTAGTGTCCTTGTCTGGCTTTGGTATCAAGGTCATACGAGCCTTACAAAATGAGTTCGGCAGTATTTTCCCCTCTTCACTTTTTTGCAAGAGTTTAAGAAGGACTGGTATTAATTTTTCTTTAAATGTTTGGTAGAATTTACCAGTGAAGCCATCTAGTCCTGGATTTTCTTTCTTTTTTCCTTTTTTTTTGGGTGGAGGGGTGTTGATTACTGATTTAATCTCCTTACTAGTAACTGGTCTGTTCAGCTGATATAAAGGGAACCTACCTCTGCATAATAAGGGCCATATATGACAAGCCCACAGCTAACATTTTACTCAACGGTGAAAGCTTTTCCTCTAAGATTAGGAACAAGGCAAGGATGCCCACTCTTTCCACTTTTATAGTACTCTTTCAACATAGTACTGAAAATCCTAGCCAGAGAAATCAGGCAAGAAAAAGAAACATAAAGACTCCAAATTGCAAAGGAAGAAGTAAGGTTGTCTTTATTTGCTGATGACATTTTATATATAGAAAACCCTAAAGACTCCTCTAAAAAACTGTTAGAACTAATAAACGAATTCAGTAAAGTTGCACAATGCAAAATCACCACACAAAAATAGGTTGTATTTCTATACATTAATAACAAACTATCAGAAAGAGAAACTGAGACAACAATCCTATTTACAGTAGCATCAAAAATAATAAAATACTTAGGAATATATTTTACCAGGGAGGTAAAAGATCTGTACATTAAAAACTATAAGACATTAATGAAATAAATTGAAGGGGACATAAATACATGGAAAGATAGCCTGTGTTCATGGATTAGAAGAATTAATAGTGTTAAAATGTCCATAACTACCCAAAGCAATCTACAAATTTAATGCAATCCTTATCAAAACAATCCTAAAATTTGTATGGACCCACAAAAGGCTTTGAATAGCCACAGCAATCTTGAGAAAGAACAACAAAGCTGGAGACATCACATTTCCTGATTTCAAACGCTATTACAAAGCTATAATAATCAAAACAATATGGTATTGGCATAAAAACTCAGTGTTAACAGACCAGAGAGCCCAGAAATAAACCTATGCGTATATGCTCAATTAATTTTTAACAAAGGAGCCAAGAATATACAACAGGTAAAGGATAGTGTCTTCAACAGGTGTTGAGAAAACTGGATATCCACATGCCAAAGACTGAAACTGGACCCCTATCTTACACTACTCACAAAAAATCAACTCAAAATGGATTGAACATAGACCTGAGTCCTTAAAACTCCTAGAAGAGAACATAAGGAGTAAGATCCTTGACACTGGTCTTGGCCGTGATTTTTGGATATGACACCAAAAGCAAAGGCAACGAAAGCAAAATAAA